AACCCCCCGTGTCCCCCCTCCCCAGCCCACCCCCCTGCAGAGCCAGGGCTCCCCCGGAGAGCCAGCCTCCCTGCCAGGTAACAGCCCAGGGATAATGGCTTTGGGCAATTTTCTCCATTAGGAGTTTTAATTCTATTATTTCAGTGGTTGCTTGTTCTGGGCGGCTTTTGGCTGAGTTTCCTGGGCTGCCATGAAGATGGCAACACAACTTTATCCTCCGGATGCAAACAGTGGATGGTCAGAGCAATTCCTACCGGGACAGAAGGACCATGAGACAGGAACTGGCAGGAGAACTGGTGCAGAGGAGCATGAGCCCCTTGGCCTCAGAGCATCGTGTCCTCCCCATGAAGGGGCAGCTGAGCTGACGTGGACAAGCAAGCCCTGAGCATGGTGCAGCCTCTGCCCTGCACACATGGTGGGGCTGGGAGAGCCCCTGACCCTCCTGTCCTGGCAGTGGGCAGGAGCTGCTTGTTGGGACCCCCAGACCCCAGCCCCATGGGTTAGTGGTGTGACCCACAGCATCGTGGCAATTGCACACATGGAATATGTTTTCCCAGGAGGAGGCAGGGAGCAGCGGAGGGGACAGGAGAGGAGGCAGGAGCAGGCTGGCACCACAGCACAGACTGACTCCAGGGTATTTGCACTTTCCCATTTTTATTGCAATCAAAGAAAAAAAAAAAACAAAACAAAACCAAAACCAAACCAAACCAACACATTTCTGGGAGCGTGGCAGGGACAGAGTGGGTAAGGAGAGGAGACAAGGGACAATATTCAAAGCCCAGGCAGTTTGTGTCCCCCTGCAAGGATCCATCCTTTTTGGCACAAGGCACTTGCAGTCCTGGCACAGGGTATCCCCACCATCACACCAGCTCCACTGCCAGACCCACGAGGTCTCCTCTGAGCTGCAGCTGTTCTATGATGCTCCATCATCATCCTCATCACCTATGTCTTCCTCTGAGAGCTCTTCCTCATGGGCTTCAGATGTGGCAGCATCTTCCACTGGGGAGAGGAGATGCAGGGCTGCAGTAGGAGGGGGTGGCCCTGTCCCATCATGGGGGGGTGACACCCCAGCTGCACACACATCCAGAGATCCCACCCCATGCTGGGAGCAGGAGCACCGATCATCATGTCGAGCCCCCAAATGCAAACAAGCACTAATCTCCCCCAGACCACCTGTCCCTCCATCCCCAGGGAGAAGCAGCCTTGCTGAGGGCACCAGCTGCCACCAAAGCCACCGTGGGACCCAGGAGCGTCCCCAGCCCACGTGCTCACCTGGCCCTGCAGCTCGGTGGCACTCACAGGTGATGTGCTGCCCGCCGAGATAGACTGGCCCAGCTCCACACTTGAGCACGAAGGTGACGGGAGGAACCAGCTCCAGAGCTTTAAAGCTGATCTGCAAAGAATCGGAGCTCAGAGATCCCCAACCCCAGCCTGGGGTGAAATTATCACCCCACGGCTGCACATTCAGCTGCCCTTACCATGGGGAGCACCGAGGGCCTCAGCATCGCGATGGGCACCGGCTTCAGGTCTCTGTCACTGTTTTTTGACTCAACAGCCACCACGTGCAGCTCATCCCTGGCATCAGCCCCCAGGCAGATCTGTGGGGCCAAGCAGAGACCCCATGGCAGGGAGCTCAGCCAGCCCCACTGCTGGGGCACAGGCTCACTCTGACAGGCTCTTTGGCAAGCCTCCCATCTCACCGTTCTCAGCAGGATCAAGTGCTCCAAGAAGTCATCGTACTCCTCCACGCAGCTGCGGGTGCCCGCGCTCAGCTGGCAGCC